TTATACAGGGCCTATGGAGGGGGGGGCGAATGGAAGGTATTCAGGCTTAATTCAGGGAACGAGCACAGATCCAGTTTCCTAGATCAAGAGTCCCTCACCAGCGTTCAGGATCCTCCCTTGAGGGGTTATGCATAAATAACGAAAACTAGAAGAAATGATGCAGACTTTTGGTGTAATTTTATTTTTGCACCTTCCTCTATCCACACTAACCTCTATCCTTACACACTTCTACCACTTGCTCCTTCCTTCCCTTGCACATTCGGACCTGCAGCGCTGTATGACCCCTTCAGGTTTTGCTCTTTCTTGATTATAAGTAAGTTTATTCAGGTATACACAAATAGCTACACAGATTCATATATAGCAGCATGTGTAGAGAAAATAGGATAACCCAAAAGTCAAATGACTTTTTTCCATTTAAGTCACAAATTTCCACGCCTTCTCCGCTTCCCTATACAGCTCGTATTTATTTAGACAAATGAAACGAGAGTTAATATTATCTTTCTACTTAACATGAAATTTCTGATCTCATATTTCCCTCCCCTACTCATTTTATTAGATGATTTTTAACAATCTTCTATTGAGGTGCGTCACATTGTGACTTCAACAGTAACCGATTAAAACATTCTCGCCTTCCTTTCTCCCTCTTTATATCTTGAACACAGGAATTTCCACACGTTTAGAATGCCACCTTGCAACCTCTCGTGTATTGATCTTTCTATGTGATCTTCCTCAATATCACTCGAATTCGACAGAACACTCAAAATGATCTACATGACAGTGACCATTTGTTCTCATTACTTCCCGTTCTTACACCTGCCCTCCTAGATGACCCCGGAAGCAGTTAGTGTGTGAACTTCAAACTCTGTACTCAACATGTGTTTGAGAGAATAACAGCTTTTCTTTAAATTCTGCACAATTTATAGTAGTACCACAAGGGTACACTATTAATACTACCTTATTCCTGTAAGCTTTCAGTGAACCTCAATCTCTTCTTCTACAAATAACAGGTCATCCTTGGAGACTTGAGGATTTTGCCATCGCTTGTGTGGGTTCACACTGCCCACCTGCAGCAGCTACCATACAACATGCAGCAGATCGAGTACCCAACTGGGACACTAAATACTGTTTTAACTTCTCTGCTATTAAAACCAACTGTGATATTCATGAGATGTCTTAGTCTCCTACAAATCATTATCTACATGTATGGCTCCTGTTCTAATATGTACCATAGTCAAATTTCTAGGCATTAAGTTTAAATATTCAATATGTTAACGGCCCCACATCATTGAAAGCTTTACTCTCCTCTCCCTATTGAAAACATAAGCTTTACGGTCCGAGAAAAGTATCCTTGTAATGCATAACCCCAGCATCCCCCCCCCTTTCCCTGCCTCAATAAGATACGAATAGAGCAGACTGAAGTATTCTAATAATTTGAAGGGAATCAGAAGTATTCACTGATTATCCCTTCAACACTATTATCGAAATTTCTTCAACAAAAAATAGCAAATTAGGACAGAGGCCAAACCTAATTAAAACCTTCCACTAAGAAACAACAGCTTTGAAGCTAAACTAACCCAGGTGGTTTAGCGCTTTATAATAATAATGAAGCCAAACTGAAAAGGCATTCTCTTATCTTAGAGAAAAACAATGTGGTGAAGCACTCTAACACATGTAGTGAGAAGCCTCTTTTTATTTATATCAGTACTGAAGGACCTGGGAGCCTTGGGTTCCCTCACTCCTGGGAGCCTTGGGTTCCCTCACTCCTGGGAGCCTTGGGTTCCCTCACTCCTGGGAGCCTTGGGTTCCCTCACTCCTGGGAGCCTTGGGTTCCCTCACTCCTGGGAGCCTTGGGTTCCCTCACTCCTGGGAGCCTTGGGTTCCCTCACTCCTGGGAGCCTTGGGTTCCCTCACTCTTGGGAGCCTTGGGTTCCCTCACTCTTGGGAGCCTTGGGTTCCCTCACTCCTGGGAGCCTTGGGTTCCCTCACTCCTGGGAGCCTTGGGTTCCCTCACTCCTGGGAGCCTTGGGTTCCCTCAGACCTGGGAGCCTTGGGTTCCCTCAGACCTGGGAGCCTTGGGTTCCCTCAGACCTGGGAGCCTTGGGTTCCCTCAGACCTGGAAGCCTTGGGTATCCCTCAGACCTGGGAGCCTTGAGTTAAGAACATAAGAAAGAAGGAACATTGCAACAGGCCTACTAACCCATGCGGAGCAGGTCCATGTAACCCCCCCGGATTAGCACAATAACCCCCCCCCCACCCGGATTAGCCCAATGACCCACCCAGTCTGGTCACCTCCACTCAAGGAAGGAGCACGACATCAGACCCAGCAGCACAAGCTAGTCAGGTCCAACTCATACCCACCCACACCCACTCATGTATTTATCTAACCTATTTTTAAAACTACACAACGTTTTAGCCTGAATAACTGTACTCGGGAATTTGTTCCACTCATCCACAACTCTATTACCAAACCAGTGCTTTCCTATATCCTTCCTGAATCTGAATTTTTCCAACTTGAAACCATTGCTGCGAGTCCTGTCTTGGCTGGAAATTTTCAGCACGCTATTTACATCCCCTTTATTTATTCCTGTTTTCCATTGATACACCTCGATCATACACGAGGGCAGTAATCAGTAAAGCCTTTGAGAAGTTGAGTGAACTAAGTGTGCACCCGCGCGCGCGCACACGGTGCTGGATACAGATCTAAATACCTCTAGATTCTGGTATTTATTGATAAATTCCAGAGTGCATGCAAGAGTCCTGCAGCACTACTCAACATTACCAGGCCCTTGCTTGAGTGTTGGTCGATATTAAGGTTCGCGTGGGAGTTATTGTATACATCAGATTAGGTTAAGTAAGATTCGTCAGAAAGCAGAGGTGTTTCCTGAAGCTGGTCTTATCCACATGATGACCCGCAGCTGGAACTTTCGGTCATCCGACCGAGGCCTTCCGCTGGTTTGTATATACACAGTATACATAATATACATAAATGTAAAATGAAACTAGTTATATATTTATAATTATCACACAAACACACACACACACACACACACACACACACACACACAACACACACACATATAAGTAAGTAAGTAAGTAAGTTTATTCAGGTATACACAAATACAGTTACATAGAATTATCATACATAGCAGCATATGTGTAGAGAACCTAGGATAACCCAAAAAAGTCGGACCCCCCCCCCACACACAGCGCCAACAGCTCTATAATTCACAAGTGACCATCTATATTCTATAATTCACTGACCATCATATTCAAACGAGTGTAAGTAGACAGCACCTAAAAGCAACGATAGACAGTGGTTATTTTTTGCATCCAGTAGACAACAACGTCAATAATATTGCATAAGACGACCACAGAATCATTGAGTAGTTCCTAGAGTTACAACAATATGTACATCGAGATGTGTTTATTTTTCATCCTATATACATGCTAATTTTTCTTTAAACTTTATTTAGGGTAAGAATGAACAGCCTCAGCATCACTAGTGCACTGGATAGTTAGGTATTATTAGGAACTACCAGCCTAAACGATCCTCATAAATATAGTCCTAGCAACTATATTATTATTAGTAGTAGTAATATTAGTACTTGTATTAGAAGCAGTAAGAGTAGCAGCAGTAGTAGTATTAGCAGTAATAACAATAATAGTAGTAATAGTAATAACAATTATAATCATGGGGAAGCGTTAAACCCGTAGGATTATACAGCGTATGTGGGGGGGGATGGAAGGCATTCAGGCTTAATTCAGGGAACTGGAGCACAGATCCAATTCCCTATATCAAGAGCCCCTCACCAGTGTCAAGGAACCTCCCTTGAGGGGCATATAATTATGACAACTAACAACAATGGTAATACCATAATACAATATATTATATTTTATTATTATTATTATTAATATTTGAAAGTGTAACCCCGTAGCGGTCATAGGGAGAAGTGGAATAGGAGGAATTTAGTTGATTCTTAGAAGGAAAGAGTTGCTCTAGTTCCATGGATCAAGAGCCCTTCATTATATTCAAGGTACTCTCGACCACTCCTACCCTTGAACAGGAAGGAGTGGTCGGGAAACTTATGCTGCCCAACAATATTTTTTTTTGCGAGTATTAAGGTACAGAGACTGAGGTTATACAATACTGGGAGACCTTGGGTAGTGCAGTTACGGAAATACCTCTAGTTAATCAGTGTAGGAGTATTTGTGGCATGTTAAGAGTATGTTACAATTTACTCGGTCATTGCCATACACCCACACAGGCATGCCCTCCTGATCAGCGAACCAGCTGATAAGAGTATAACAGGCGGGGGTCCCATGTTATGCTAGAAGCTCAGTTCAACCAGCCAGTCAAGAAGAAGCCTGATAATTCTGTGATGCGAGGTCTGGGTCTCGTGGACCAAAATTGGCAGACTTACCTCCTAAGTTTGGCTGCTCACAGGTTCTCACTGTGTCTCTTACTTGCAAAGTTGTTATTCTGTGCACAGTGTATATACATTGTATAAATACTAGCACGCTTTTTTGAAGGAAAATGTATTAGTATTTACTCTGTGTCGCCTTTTTCCTCATTCGTACCTTGGTTATGGTGCTGCCTCAGCTACGCTCAGCTGTACACATCACAAGATTATATCTGTGTTTGTAATAGTATTTTATTTTGTTTCTTAGTGTGGTTATTTTATATTTTGGTTCATTAGCTTTAGCTTATGAGTGTGTGGCAAGCGTGTCTGAGCGTGTCTGAGCGTGTCTGAGCGTGTGTGTGCGTGTATCCTTGTATACACAGGAGTGATGAATGACCTATTTGTCCTAGTATTGTAAAACTAGAAAATTTAGTGCCATTTTTATCAATAACGGATTCTGTTATGAGAGAATACAGTAGGGTAAAACTGCTCTAAAGACAACTAATATGTAATTTTTAATATTATTTACCCACTAAATTAAGCGTGATGGTCAGAAAAAACGACACTGAAATTACATTTCTTGTCACTGTGGTGGTGCAGGCTCGACAGCACTGGTAGCGGCTGTGCAGAGGACTCAGGACGCCCGCCTTCAGGAACGACTCTTAAGGTTACTGCTCAACGCTGGCGCTGACACCAACGTTGGTGATGCCCAGGGCACCACACCTCTCATGCACGCTGCCATAAACAACGCCAACAACGCGGCTATTATTCTCCTCCAACACGTAAGTACTATTAAGGTGCAAGGAGGGTGAGTACAGTGGGACTGATGGGGAAAGATTAGGGGTATGAATGCTATCATCAACGCCAATCACTCAGCCAACACTCTCCTCCAACACCTGAGTACTAATGGCGGCGTAGTGGAGTGTTGTGGAGCAGTGAGCATGTTGAAGGAACTCGTCTACAACATGAAGGAACTTCTTTTCCAACTCTTTTCTTTCAACACAGGAGCTACCGTAACCTGCAACACATAAGTACAAATATTGCAGGATGAATCTGCAAAGTTATCATATAAAACACCCAAGTGTATTATATATATATATATATATATATATATATATATATATATATATATATATATATATATATATATATATATATATACTTTCACCTCACTCACACATAATCACTGTTTTTGCAGAGGTTCCCAGAATACAACAGTTTAGAAGTATATACGTATAAAAATACACAATATATCTCTCCAAACCGCCAATATCCCAAACCCCTCCTTTAGAGTGCAGGCATTGTACTTTCCATTTCCAGGACTCAAGTCCGGTTATATAAAATAACCAGTTTCCATGAATCCCTTCACTAAATATTACCCTGCTCACACTCCAACAGATCGTCAGGCTATATATATATATATATATATATATATATATATATATATATATATATATATATATATATATATATATATATATATATATATATATATATACACACACACATACATATGCAAAAAATCGCGAATAAGCGATGCTAGATGCAAAACAGCCACGGAAGGCCTAGAGCTATCTTTCAACTCTCCTCCCCCCCCGAGTAATGTAATGCAGAAGCATTTTAGAGGACGTTTCGCTCTGGATTAATCTTGATTAAGTTCTCTCCTGAGCGATTCATAAACTTTATAAAACTCCCTAAGGAAAATCTTGACATGATAAAGCTCTCTTTTGAGCGAAACTTAGCGTCTGTTGCCCGAAGCACCACCATGACTGATGCCTGATAAAGTAAGACAAATGTGTAATGCAACTCTATCAAAGAACAATCTCGTTAGTTTACCAGATGTTAAACATATTACACGCTAGTCTGAATACGATAATAGAATATTTCGTTTTAAATATTGAGAACTATGAAACTAGGCACGCAATCTAGTCTACGGATAACGACAACCATATTCTTTTTACTGGTCAAGGAAGACTTCTCTGCAAGCAAAACACTAACGACACAGTAACTCGACGAAGCTCACAACAAATTCACCGCTAACATATCCAAAGCATCACAAGTCTACATACCCCTACCTGGAGTCTACTTGGAGGGCATTCCGGGGATCAACGCCCCCGCGGCCCAGTCCATGACCAGACCTCCTGGTGCATCAGGGCCTGGTCAACGAGGCTGTTACTGCTGGCCCTTCCTAAAGCCTCAATGTTTATCTGCGAGCCTGCTTTCCGTCTTACTCTCAATTCTTTCAATAATAACTCTACCATAAACTTTACCAGGTATACTCATCATGCTTATTATCCTACAATATTTGCACTCTCTTCAACGATGAGATATTTCAATTACTCACATATGGTAAACACGAGGAAATTAAATCATCAGAGTACAAAACAAATTCTGGCCACAAAATAGAGCGAAATATCAACGTCAAAGACCTGGGAGTGATCATGTCGGAGGATCTCATCTTCAAGGACCATAACATTGTATCAATCGCATCTGCTAGAAAAATGACAGGATGGATAATGAGAACCTTCAAAACTAGGGATGCCAAGCCCATGATGACACTCTTCAGGTCACTTGTTCTATCTAGGCTGGAATATTGCTGCACACTAACAGCACCTTTCAAGGCAGGTGAAATTGCTGACCTAGAAAATGTACAGAGAACCTTCACGGCGCGCATAACGGAGATAAAACACCTCAATTACTGGGAGCGCTTGAGGTTCCTGAACCTGTATTCCCTGGAACGCAGGCGGGAGAGATACATGATTATATACACCTGGAAAATCCTAGAGGGACTAGTACCGAACTTGCACACGAAAATCACTCACTACGAAAGCAAAAGACTTGGCAGACGATGCAACATCCCCCCAATGAAAAGCAGGGGTGTCACTAGCACGTTAAGAGACCATACAATAAGTGTCAGGGGCCCGAGACTGTTCAACTGCCTCCCAGCATACATAAGGGGGATTACCAACATACCCCTGGCAGTCTTCAAGCTGGCACTGGACAAGCACCTAAAGTCGGTACCTGACCAGCCGGGCTGTGGCTCGTATGTTGGTTTGCGTGCAGCCAGCAGCAACAGCCTGGTTGATCAGGCTCTGATCCACCAGGAGGCCTGGTCACAGACCGGGCCGCGGGGGCGTTGACCCCCGAAACTCTCTCCAGGTAAACTCCAGGTCTTCTGTCCCCTTTGTTTTCATACAGAGACTATGCACGCCCACTGACAATCCCTAGGAAAAGTAAGGTCGCATGTAACCTATTTACCACCAGTCACGAATATTTTAAACCCTAAAATAGGGCTTAATGGTTAATTGGGCATAAAGGCTTTTGACTACGCAATGGATCAGTAAGGTTGAATATAACCTGTTCACCGTTAAAATTAGCATTAAGACTGGTTCATTTGGCTTAAATCCTATTAACTACTTATAGTGCCAATACAAGCACCTGATAAAGTAAACAGTCTGCAAATGTACACACTGAGAAACATACACCTCTCAGTGTCTCTCAGCGTATATATCATGTGTTTCATTATTATTATTATTATTATTATTATTATTATTATTATTATTATTATTATTATTATTATTATTATTATTTTAATAATAACAGCATTATTATCATCATTTGAACTGATGTGAACACTTGGCTAATCACTAACGTCGTAAGGTTGTGCATCCTATAAGCTTCTGATTATTGTATTCATGGCAGTAAAGTGATTAGAATTAAATCATCTCATTATCAATCTCAGTACATCTCTTGAAAAGGAAATTAGGTAAACAAATAGTTTTATATATATATATAGATGTATATAAGAGCGTGAAGATGTTGAACGAAGGATAATAAATAAACGTTCAGAAGTTGTTCAGAACTGACAACGTGGCTACCGTAACTTGGGCGAGGAAATATATTTTTGCGATAGCTTCCCCTACATTTTGAAAATGAGCTCTGCTGCGTTTTCTGTGAATAATGTTAGTTGCTGTAGGAAGACTTGTGTTGGAGCACCAACTGCGTCTTTCTGACGGAGCCCAAATGGCTTTCAGAAATCTTGATTTCGGTGGATTTACTGGTACTTCAATTAGCCTTTTAAAATAGTATTCGTCACTTATATAATTAAATTGTTGTAAGTACTTACAGATGTTATATTTTCAGTAAGGCTTTGGATCACTGTAAATAAAAACTCTGTACAATATTAGTTCTTTTGGCTTAAAATGTCGATAAATTATGAAGAATATTGGCCCCTGCATAGGGTATATACAAACATACAAATAAAATGAGTCGTCTAAAGATTTAGACGTGTCTGGTCTTAGTCCTGATCAATATTATAACAGTCCTGTACTGTACATCTCTGTGTGGTTGCAGCGGTTGAGTTATATCTCCTGGCTCTGCGACTGAGTTTACTCTCATTCACAAGAGCTGAAATGTCGCAAATGTTAGTGCATAGGTGGATTACGATTATAATTACCTTCCTTTAGATGATAATAAATCATTTATTTTCCAATTCCTCCCATTTTCCATAAGGAATAATTTCTTTCAAAGGATATTTTCCTGAGATCTGGTTCATTTTGATTCCAGTTTGTTAAAAAGAAATAGCTTAAGCCTTTTTCTTAACGGCTTGACAAAGCTCTTGGAGAGCGAAACGTTGCCACAGTAAAATGTCACATTTGTTGCACTTGTATCCTTTTCCTTATTATTATTATTATAATCAAAAAGAAGCGCTAAGCCACAAGGGCTATACAGCTCCTTTTTCCTTAACACATATAAACATGCACATATATTATATACAGTAAAGCAACAGCAAAGAACTACAGACCAATAGCACTAACATCCCATATCATAAAAAAAAAAAAATCTTTGAAAGGGTCCTAAGAAGCAAGATCACCACCCATCTAGAAACCTATCAGTTACACAACCCAGGGCAACATGGGTTTAGAACAGGTCGCTCCTGTCTGTCTCAACTACTGGATCACTACGACAAGGTCCTAAATGCACTAGAAGACAAAAAGAATGCAGATGTAATATATACAGACTTTGCAAAAGCCTTCGACAAGTGTGACCATGGCGTAATAGCGCACAAAATGCGCGCTAAAGGAATAACAGGAAAAGTCGGTCGATGGATCTATAATTTCCTCACTAACAGAACACAGAGAGTAGTCGTCAACAGAGTAAAGTCCGAGGCAGCTACGGTGAAAAGCTCTGTTCCACAAGGCACAGTACTAGCTCCCATCTTGTTCCTCATCCTCATATCCGACATAGACAAGGATGTCAGCCACAGCACCGTGTCTTCCTTTGCAGATGACACCCGAATCTGCATGACAGTGTCTTCCATTGCAGACACTGCAAGGCTCCAGGCGGACATCAACCAAATCTTTCAGTGGGCTGCAGAAAACAATATGAAGTTCAACGATGAGAAATTTCAATTACTCAGTTATGGTAAACATGAGGAAATTAAATCTTCATCAGAGTACAAAAACAATTCTGGCCACAAAATAGAGCGAAACACCAACGTCAAAGACCTGGGAGTGATTATGTCGGAGGATCTCACCTTCTAGGACCATAACATTGTATCAATCGCATCTGCTAGAAAAATGACAGGATGGATAATGAGAACCTTCAAAACTAGGGAGGCCAAGCCCATGATGACACTCTTCAGGTCACTTGTTCTATCTAGGCTGGAATATTGCTGCACTCTAACAGCACCTTTCAAGGCAGGTGAAATTGCCGACCTAGAAAATGTACAGAGAACTTTCACGGCGCGCATAACGGAGATAAAACACCTCAATTACTGGGA